AAAAAAAAAAGAAAAAATCAGAAAAAATTCATTGAGAAAACTACTACGTAGCTGGTTAGAATTACGACTGGAATAGTATGTTTGATCGAGGCGCTGTCGGGTTTAGGGATACCGACTGCAGCCGGCGGGGGGCCAGCGAGTGCAGGAGCTGGCCATCCCGTGGCGGCTCATCACCACGGCCAGCTGGACGAGCGACTGGCTCTAGCTGCTGACCCGATGGTCCGGTTGCAGATGGCTGGCATTTCGCCCGAGTATCATGCTCACACTCACGCGCATACGCATGCGCATACGCACTTACACTTACATCCGGGACAGCAGCAGGCCCAGCAACAGGCTCAGCAACAGCAGGAAGCGGCTGCGGCTGCAGCTGGATTCCCCCTGCCTGGTAGGTCTTATTAATCAGGATGTTTGAGTACGCTCCCGCACGATGATCGCTCCTTTCACTGACTATCTGTATAATTGTAAGATCAATAAGGATTTCTTTATATGTAATAAGTATATCATAATTTTCCTTTTGATTAAGGAAATAGATATTAAACTTTCTTGATTTCGCTTTTATTTGATAAGTAGACTATAGACGTTTATGTATTTATAGAAAATTTAAAGATAAAATCTTGGAAATCCCTAAATTTTATATTTATATTACATATTATACTTTATTTCATTTCATATTGTACTTAAGAACTGGAACAAATCTTTCTATACGTTTCATTTCCTTAGATGTATTCATAAAAATATAAATTTGTATAAACATCTCTAGTTTACTAATAAGATTTCAATAATTTAAAACCGTTAACGAAAATTTAATTGTAATTTAATTTTTTAATATGATTGTAAATGTAAATTTAAACATGAATTAATACAATGAAGAGCATAACTGAACACAATGTTGAAAAATTGTGGATACTTTAAACTGTGAAAGAAAATTTTGATGTGATTTTGTGGAAGAAAAGCATGCAACAATCTATTTGGTCTCGTTTTGAAGTATAAAGTTCTTTAAATATTTTTGCATCGTGCAGCGAATGGGAAAATAAGTACTTTTATTCTCCAAGATTGTAAATATTCGAAAAACATGTAAATATCGTTAAAAATATTAAAAATTTTTTTTTGTAATTTGAACCACCACGGTTTTTAAAAATTGAGATTTTCTTTTTATAACGAAAAATATATCTCTTATTATATGATTGTTTCTCGCGCTTTTACTGAACTTCGAACATTAGTTAGAACGAGAAACATAACGAAATATTAGGATTTCTTGAATTTTTATTATATAATTTTAATGTTCAAAATTCAATAAATAATGAAAAAAGTGGTACGGCTAATTTTAAGGGATCGTTGTAAAAGAGAAACTTTAATTTTCACGATAGATTTAGTCAAATAAAATTTTTCAATGTTTTTGCATACGTGTGAATTTTTACAATTTTTTCTTAAAGAAAAGAACATTTTTCCATTTGCTACATAATATTAAAATAGCTTCGAAAAAAATGAACTCAAAATGAACAAAAAATGAACAACAAAAAAGTGCAATCAAAATGGAAGCTTTATATTTAAAAATGAAACGAGGTAGATTTTATGATTATTGAAGAAAATAATATATATATTTTACGAAGTTATAACAGTTTAAATTATCGACAAATTTTTATTTAAATTAGTTGCAAAACTGACTCCACGAAAACAGTCTGCTAGAATAATGTTATGATAGTAATAAGATCATAAAATTTTTTTGGGAAAGTCAAAACATTTTACAAAATACTAGATATTTTGTTTCTTTTTTTTTGTGTGTGTTCTACATATAAATATTAAAATATTATTTATGTTGTTTTCATATGTGTGTTCAGTTTACTCATCACTGTATACAAGAAACAGTTCAATTTCCAATGTAAGATCGCACTTTGTAAGATTTTTTTTTTTTATTATTATATATACAAAATTAACGAGTCTGTGATCGGAAAAGTGGTCAGTTGCGTGTAAGCGTACCGTAACGTGCTTTTCACTTAATCAGTTTAATATTAGTCATTCTAATTTGAACGAAGAGCATTCTAATTGTTACCAATAGCTTACCTTTAAAAAAAAAATAGATAGAAATAAATATAAATTTTTCTCTGCGGCAAATTTTTTTTGCATTTTTTCTGTCGCTTTCCTCGTTATACCATATTCTGAGCTTTTTGATCATCGAGTGCAACTTCTGAGTGAAGGTACGATCCATGAATAAAGATTCTGAGTTTTTAATAACGCGAATTGCCTTTAAGTAAACTGCAATAATTGTATGCGTGATACATGCGTGAATGGAAACACAATATATCTGTATTGCACAAATATTTCCATACGATATTTATTATTCATTTATGAAAATGTCTTTTTAAAAATTGCATATCACCAATATAATATTTATCAATATTACTTTATCATCGACATAATATTTATCAATATTAATTTATCAATATTGCTTTTTATTATATTATCTTATTGTAACGTTTCATTGATACATCGAAGATTTCATTAATGTTGTCTATTACTATATTAAATTAAAAATCAATTGGTCAATCAGGATCATTTAAAAAGATATAATAATTATGCAAGTATGATTGCGTTAACTCTTGGAATGCAAGAAGTAACGCAATTTAATAATTGCGAACAAAATAATTTTTTATTATATCTGTTTTTATTAAATAGTGTTAGTATTTTATATAGTAATAGTAATAATATTTTAACCCTAGAAAATAACTTTTTATTATATTTATTTTTATTATTTGTAAATTAAAATTTATTAATTTATTTCTTATTGTTTTTTCCATAATAAGAGATAGTAATAATATTGTAAGAGTTAAATGCAGGATGAAAATAGAAATTAATTCTAGCCTAGAATTAATTGGATTCTGTCTGATTAATTTTAGATAGAAATTAAGATAGAAAAAAAAGAAAAAGAGATTTAAATTACAATGTAGCGGCATACGAAAGTAAAAATATCGTTCAACAAATCTCACGCTTGTTTGTTTAATCATAAATTCTCATCATGCATGTTTGTTTATCCATAAGTTTTCTTAAGCTTTTATTTATCTTATAAAAACAACGTATTGTATTGTACAATTTACTAATGTTTTCTATGTGTATAGCGGCAGCTGGTGCAAATTATCCTCGACCAGGCTTAATGCCCCGTGATCCAGCACTGGCTCTTCATCCCGCGGAACTTCTCGGAAGACCATACGCAGATATGGCAGCGCATCATGAGCAATTACAACGTCATCTAATGATGGAACGCGATCGATTCCCTCCTCATGCATCGCTTGTTGCACATCACGAGGAATATTTAAGGTTTGTCCTTTGAAATCCAATAACAAAGCTATACAATTTTACATACAGCTATACAAATTTACATATGCTTGATTTAGACGATTAGTGTCTAAGTAATCTCGGACTAACAAAGGGTGTTTTTTAGACAACAGCGCGAACGTGAGCTTAAAGTTCGCGCACTGGAAGAAGCTGCACGTGGATCACGCCCTTAAGTGTAATTGTATTTATATATTCTAATGATTATCCTTTATAATTAGAGACGCGACGATCCTCGTTAGACACAATTAACGAGTACTCGTCAGGCGGTGGTCAATTATGAGACAGTGTGCATTCAAATTGACAAAAAAAAGAAACAAGAAAAAAAAGATATAAGGATAAGATAAAGAAAAAAAGAAAGAAAGAATCTGTTCAAGATCGTTGACCTTACGTTTATGATCAAAAATTATTTTTACGGTTTCCCTTCAAAGTTAACTAATTATCAAGAATACAAAAATGTAAGGATTGTTATGATGTATAACATTTTAGTGTAAATATGACACAATTTAAAGTATAGTGCTAGTTTGACCTAGCATCATAGAGAATTGAAATTTATATATATATA